ATAACGTTACCACTGCGGCAAAAACTTAGCAAAATTATTCTTAATGTTTATGTACCATTTTTTCGATTAGTAAAATAGAATTTCAATTACAAATATTGTACTTTCTATTTCTCCTTTGTAATAACTTATTATTTTACCATGTACAATTTGGAACTAGCAATATCAGTTGTCTAAAAACATCTACAAAACGGGTTTAGTGAATTGGCAGTTTTAAAGAATTCAGATGGGCTATTTTCAGCAAGAAACAAAACAGACATAAAAGGTTTAACTAGTAAAAAGAGTTTGACAAGCGTTAGCAATATTTTATCCCTATAAATTTCAACAGAGCAGCAAATAAAAAGTGTGTTTTATAATGGTGAATGTATGGGCTGCGTCGGCTTCTGCCAGTAGGTGGTGGGGGAAGCTCGACCGCGCGGCCAACACTGAGCCAGCGATCCATGAGTTGTTTATATCGTTGCATGAGCCTTGGAGAGTGCATTAAAAACTTCTACTAGTGTCGTTAAAACTATTTACGCAAGTTGCGTACACTACTTTACGACAGTGTTTTAATTACTAAAAATCACTACCCATAACGTCAGAGAGGTTATGTTTTCGTTTATAACCTCCCATTGCCACTGGCAGTGAAGACACGAAACATTGTACCAAACACTAATTACACCATTAAACAATTAAATTGGCCTTAACAGCTGATTAGTTGAAGTTCGAATCATTACAATATTACTTCTTATCTCTAAATCCTTGAACCCCATTTGTCCGTTACCCGTATTGTTATAGTAAAACTATGCTGTTATGTGAAACTTTTAAATTCTAAGAACTGAACTGAAACGACCGCCTTGTAAAAATAATTTATTTACCAACTATAGAAAATATTATTTTTGTTCAGTGTAGCTAACAAAGAAACGCTTAATTTCTTAATTTAAATTTCGACCCGATTTAATTTTCAGCAAGCGGTCTTAAAAAATACAATTTAGTTTGGCAGTTTATTAAAACAATCGGTTATGACAAGTTGGCGACGGCGATGCCGACGACGACTAGTAAGACCTTGTATGCGGCCCCAGTCTTGTAAGGCAGTGGCCTGGTACAAGGCCTTGAGCAAGGTCATAGCTACATCGTAGCGACACCTGCGACCTGCGATACCTATAACTTTCACAGCTACCGAGTGAAGCTAAACGTAACTCAGGTAAAGAATTATCCAACTTTTACTCCAATTAGACTAAACAAAAATCCTGTCCCAATATTATTGAATACCACCACCAGCTTCTGAATCTGCGGACGCGGAGACCAATTTGGCATTTGTCAAACCTAACTGACATTTAAGAAGCAGGACAAAATTATTGACCACTGGACAATATTTTGGGTTCTTTGAAACCTCACAATCTAACGTTAGGTTAGGTTATTATGTTTAGTGGACATTTTTCTGTTGTCACGAACTGAGTATAATATGAATAAATTTACCAAGTTTGATCAAAATATATCCATAAACAAGCAGACTACAACATTTTACAATATTCCCCATAAGAATAACATGGGAATTTTAAAATAACAATTATTTGAATTTTCTCCGTAACTAATAATAGTACAAAAACACTTTGATATACAAAATTATTTGTTTTTTAAGCTCTTTAAGAGGGTCTGAAGAGAAATTGGGAAATTTTGCGTTTAGAGGGTCAAAAATTAGAAAACACAATTTTTACCCCATAAAACCCCCCCTAAAACCCCGTTCCCATGGTCCGATCAACGACAAAATATCTTCGCTAGTTTTAAGCCTGGAGAGAAAAGTCTACTCACTACGTACGGTAACAGAATAGTTGTATACAACACCCGCGATTTCCAAGCACTTGAGGGAGCTCAGCTGGTGAATGAACACAGTGCTTGGTGCTTGGCTAATTGATTACACGGAGACAGCTACACTCGGTGTGTGTGTGGCAGTGACACAACTAAGACGTGTCCTGGTCCTAGGCCACACCTACACGTGCAATTAATTATGTGTAGCAGAGAGTAGACAACACCATCAGCTATTGTGTATTGATCACACCGGAGATGTGGCAACACTGTCAAGTAGCATCATACTCTGTGTATGAGGGCCACACAGAGTATGCAGTGACCGAGACACGTGCCGTATGTGTAGCGGAGAGTGGACGAAACTTGGTTCTGTATTGTGTATTGATCACACCGGAGATGTGGCAACACCGTCAAGTAGCATCATACTCTGTGTATGAGGGCCACACAGAGTATGCAGTGACCGAGACACGTGCCGTATGTGTAGCGGAGAGTGGACGAAACTTGGTTCTGTATTGTGTATTGATCACATTGGAGATGTGGCAACACCGTTGCAGCAGCGTCTTATCTGGCCACCACGGTGTTGTAGTGCGCCACATTCGCGACCAGGATATTTACAGCTCTAAAGAGGCTGTTGCAAGGTTTTATTGATTTCTTCTTATCTCGTTTTGATTTATCTTTAGTAAAATCACCTGAATTATTAAAATCGTTTGGAAAGTTCATTATTCGAAGTTCAAACCAAAAGGTAAGTAGGTGAGCGTAGCGAACGAACTTCAACCAGGGCGTTATTGAGCGATGCGAACGAGCTCATCTTGAAAATGAACGAGCATTTGACATAAAACCACATTAGGACAGGACGACGTTTGTCGAGCCAGCTAGTTAGCGTATATAAAGAAGACTTCGGAATTTTGGTATTAAATAAAAACAATCAAGATCCGGTGAAACAAGATTGCAAATTTTCTAGTGCATATGTCAACTTTAAGTGACATTAGAGTACCACGAAGAGTTGCCAATTTTCAGAGCAGTGCAAGGTCAGCAACCGTGGGATTTGTGAGATGATAATTTCATTAAATGGCTTTGGTGACAAATGACTAATAATGAAACTAATGCAGTCTGCCGTCATGGCTTGTAGGTTTGTTGATTGAAGAGAAAATGTATTTTCTGTCTTCAGTTTCCCACGATGACGATTTTTAACGACCATAAGTGTTAATGTTAACTAAACGTTATTAGGTTCCTGTTGTAAATATCAATTATCTAAGAAAAGTGTATCAGAATTCAAAATAAAGTGGACACAATGAAAACATTATGATGAATGGAATATGTTTAGAGGCTGGGGACATACTTTTAACGTATATCACGGGTTTGAGATTGGTTTTGAAATGTAAAAGGTTTCCCTTGTAATAATACTTAAATTGTAATAATCTACATGCCAATTAAATACCACATGTTACTAGTTGGAAGTTAATGTGTAATTAAATTTATAATTATATATTGCGTGCAAATACTGTCAATTTAATCTTGTTTACATACACAAGGGGTCCCGTAAGTAAGTACAAAGAATTCAGGAATATGTATATTAATTCTACTAAAACTGAAATAGTATTTGTGTAACTAGTGGTGAAAGTGGCACTTTGCTGCACAAAAGAGCAATGTTTACTCGCCTGCGGCTCGTGCGGAATGATCTCGAGTGCAGCAAAGGCCTTTTTCACTCGTGTTACACATTATATTTTTCCTACAGTCACTAATTAGTCTTTCAAACACTATACAACATGTTTTTAGGTTCAGCTGGCAACACAAATGGTGCCCTAGAGAAAGTAGTACCCGCGGTCCGTATCACTCCGCTATTTTTCCTCTGCAAGAAATGTGCTCCGCGTTTTGAGAATATAGTTCCGTATGTTTTTGTAATTTGAAGTCGTTTCCGCGCCTAAAAAATGCTTTAATGGTATTTTCTTGTTTATTAAGATCGTAGGAATGTTTTAAAAACGTTCAAAAGAAAAGTCCAGAAAGTTCAGAAATACCGAAACTATAAACACGAAATGACAGGTTAAATCGTAGTTATAATAGTCAATCAGCTGCTCATAGTATTATTATCTTTAAGTGTTGCCAACCTATTTCCAAGCGTGCACGAATTACGTGCATAATAGAACCAAGCTGTTTTGTGTTGTTTCGTTGGAATCCTGATGTGCGGCAAAGTATAAACCGTACGACAAAGTATAAACCGTACGGCAAAGTATAAATATGCAGCAATTAGCAGCTTTCTGTCCTATAAACAGTACAAGGAAGCCAACTTTGTCGGGTGACTGTAGGAAAAAGTATTATATTTTTCTAGAAATGCCTCGTTAGCAAGATAACTGCTATTTTTTCATCTCAAGAACTATTTTACATATCTTTATGAAACTTGGTATAATTTAATCAAGTCATAATGTGTTTAAGATAATAATCATTTAAACTTTGGGTAATTTTATAGGGAATTTCAAATGGTAAGCCGTTTTTTGTAATTTATGTTAGGGGCCTTTTAAATAACCCACAGAGAAGTAATATAAATCATTAAAAAAACTTTATATGATGATTATTTTTTCGTTAATAGGCCTACATATTGACTTGATAAAATATTGTATACCAAGTTTCATAAAGATATCTTAAATAGCCTATTTCTAAAGAAAGATGTAAATTTAAAGCATAAAACAAAATGGCGGACATCCCGCTTACGAGGCATTTTTGGAAAACAATGTTATTCTTGATTTTTGTTTTATTTTGGCCCAATAAACCTATTCATGAACTCTTGGTGCTTACTTACTGGACAACCTGTATGTAACAGATTATTTAAATTTCATTTAGGAAACTATGTAGATAATTAATTGAGAAAATTGGGAAATATGAACTGCGCCACCATTGGTATCTCATAAAATATAAGATTTTGAGAAAGCATTAAATAGGGAACTTTATTGTCTAAAAAAATCGTATAGGAAACCTTGTACAGTATTTTATCATGCCGTTATTAGAGTGTTTCGGGGATCGCGACCAAAAATGGCTAGAGAGATTCCAGACCACATTGTTGGATCTCAAAACTGTAAACTGTAACGTCACCTTGTATTTTACAAACCCCACATGGCAATTAACATATCCAGTATGTTTATATAACTACTACGCTGTTCACATCTCCCATGAGATCCACTACCCCTACACGATAGTAAAATTGAGTTGTAGAATCTGCGACTTACCGGAAGCCAGCAACTCCTGGCTGACGATATTAGTGAGGTCGGGTTCCTCGCCGTACCAGAAGATCCACAGCTCCTTGGCGGCGGACAGGGAGAGCGGGGGGTGCGAGGGATGGGCCGGGGGTTGCGGCAGTCCCAAGGGGTCGAACATACCAGAAGACGCGGCCGGCGCCGACACCCGCCTCCATACACATAGGATGTCCCCTGCGAGACATCGCGCGAACGAAGACAACACAGGGTCATCCAGCGGTTCTACGGAATTACCCGCCTCCGCCTCGCCCCACACCAGCTTACGCCATTTGATGCCGCATAGATCCGTCTGTAACAAAACACATACAATTCACTAATGATCCTTGTGTGTATCTGAATACGTGAAGGAACAAATACAAATTGAAGGAAGTTAGATGCACCACTCAAAGAATGAGCTACACGGTCTAAATTTTATTTTTTATTTTGGTCGTTGATACTTAATGCAATTGCCATGATATAATAGATGTCTATACAACTGAAAACAATACTTGACAACAGCATACTCTTACTTTTATAATTAAATACCCCCGCCACAGAAATACTGCAGACTAAGCGAATTTCCATTTGTCTGAATTTATTTTCAATAAATCTATTTAAATAACATTTAGGTTTAACGCAATAAAGTGTACTTTTTGGTAATATATCAACAGCTTAGTATAAAATAAATAAATTTGCCAGGTTTGATCAATATCTATCCATAAACAAGCAAACTAAAACATTTTACAAATTTATCTTATTTTATTTATTTATCTTATTTATCTTATCTTCATAAGAAAAACATGGGATTTTTTTTAAATTTTTAATATTTAGAATTTTCTCAGTTACCAATAACCGTACAAAAACACTTTGATGTACTAATTATTTGTTTTTTAAGCTCTTTAAAAAGATTTAGAGATAAATTGGGAAATTTTATGTTTTAAGGGTAGAAATTAGAAAAACCAATTTTTACCCCATAACACCCCGTTCCCATGGTCCAATCATGCTCGTTCGCGAAACCATTCAAGATTTTCTAGGCGGATTAGTTTATCCCGCTTACAACAAAATTTTATCAAAATCGGACAAAAAATACTCAAGTTATCGCGTTCACGGGCGTATATATATACACAGGGTGGCTGAAAAGTAACTTACCCCCCCCCCCCTTAACTTTGCAACCATTTGAGATATTTGAAATCTGTTTGCGGCAACCTTTTTAGATATGAGGGGCTACAATGATTATGGTCAATTTTGAAAGTTTTGCCCTTAGGGGTAGAGGAGGTAGGAGGTAGCTCAAAATTTTCAAATAGCAAGACTTTTGTATCATTTTGCAGGTCTTGACGAAACATAAAAACTGACATAAAGAAAACCAAAATCGGCCCACTAATAACAAAATGGTGACCTAAAACTTTTTGAATCCAAATCACCATGAGGGTGGTAAAAATTACAAAATTGCACCCCTTTTAACTTTTTAACTATTTGAGATATTTGACATCGGTTTGCAGCAACTTGTTTGGATATGAAGGGCTACAATAATTATGGCCACTTTTTAAATGTTTCCCTTAAGGGTAGAGGGTAACTCAAAATTTTCAAATAGCAAGTATAGTCGAGTTTGGTAGGTATCATTTTGCAGGTTTGACGAAATATAACAATCAACATAAAGGAAATAGAAATTGGACCATTAATAACAAAATGGCAGTTCAAAATTACTTTTAATAACCATTGTCTTAATCATTTTTAGCTGCCATTTTGTTATTAATAGTCCGATTTCTAATTTCTGTATGTTAATCGTTATTTTTCGTCAAGACCTGTAAAATGATACCAAACTCAACTATACTTGCTATTTGAAAATGTTTAGCTACCCCCTACCCCCACTACCCCTAAGGGCAAAATTTTCAAAACTGACCGAGTGTAGGACTTTCGGCCTGGGGTGATTATGAGAAACTTACCCTCCGCAACAAACAATAGGGAACGTGGGTAGCTCTGAGTCTGCTGTCCCCAAAATATTCCCTATAGGTAAATTGAAAAGATTTTGTGGGTAAGAGGGAAGTAGGGAAGGGGTGATATGGGGTGTTTGACACAGCAAGCTGGCCAAAAACTATGAATAGGATTAGGTACGGTACTTCCAAGAAGGACCTGAGCCCCAGAGTACTCCAGAGCAAGAGCAGGTATTAGATGGATTTAAATCTAAGTTTAGGCTATAGTTTAGTTACAAACACCGTGCTAAAAGTTGTATATTTAAACAGTTTTTAACCAATTTTAACGACGATTTGACGACATATGTGTCACCTCAGTTCAAGATACAAAAACAGTGGATATGTATAAATTGACCATCATAATATTAGTTATGGATATTATAGTTTTGTATATACATTATAGCTTCTATAGATAGGCTACTGCAGAAGGTGGGGCCACCATCCGCCTATTGTCACTATAGCTTTCATAAATCACAAACGTTGACGAATTAGTCTCACTTAATATGATTTCAAGGCTTGTTTACAAGAATCCATCCACTCAATAGTACAAAAATATTATCCATACAACAGTATATTATATTATTACAGTGATACAATCAAATTTTATGTAAACGGTTAAGGCCATTTACCAAATAAAAATATAGGCATATGGCATATCAAAATGAAGCTTAGAGTGTGTAGATTTTGCCGAAAAGTATTGATATGGACGAACTCCCTAAGGGCTCTGCCCCACAGGCTGATTTTCAAAAGGCTACGCCTTGCATGTTTTGGAAGTTATTATTTGATTAATTTAGTGAACAACAGCTGGCCAATGCAATCGACAATATAGTTTTCCTACAGTTACCTAACAATGTACATGTTCTCTCACTGATTTGAGAAAGCAAAGTGGCCAATTCGCTCATCAGTGAGACAATGTTAACATTGAGGAAAAGTATAATGTGCAACTCGAGTTCAAAGTACAATTGCCTCACTCGAGAAACCATTCCTCACGAGCCTGTACTTTGAACTCGAGTTGCACATTATACTTTTCCTACTGTTACCATAGAACAAATAAATTTGTGAAGAAACATAACCTATTTTACACAGAAGTGAACTTTTAATATAACATTTAATGTGAAGTGACAAATACAACTGTACAACAGCTGACCAGCTGATTTACAGCCAGTGCTGCCAACGTATTTCGCGCGCATACGACGTTGCCTGCATGTTACGCGCTCACTATTTCGTGCCTTCACGTTGCAAATCTGGAGTGAGACAAAGTAATTAGAATGAGACAATGTTAACATTGTCTCACTGATGAGCGAATTGGCCACTTTGCTTTCTCAAATCAGTGAGAGAACATGTACATTGTTAGGTAACTGTAGGAAAATAACTATTGTTTGCTTACATTTTTGTTTACTTATTTTATTATTTACTTTCACGTTCTTAAAAGAGTCGCGGTGAATGGACAGTGAAGCTATTTATAGCTGTTTGTTACAAGTGAGTAACTAAAGGTGTTCGAACCATGATGACTATGAAATTAACAAACCATGTATGTTGTTCGTTCCAAGAGGTTGTCACCGATCTTTAACAGATCGCAATTTCATTGAAAAGTATTAAAGATGCCGTGAAAGAGAGCTGCGTGTACAGGTACAACCTCGGCCAACCTTAGGACGTAAGGTATGAAGGTTCCACTGCCTTTAACATCCTTTCACATGAAAATTTCTCGAACTTGGGCCCTTTAAATGAAATATAAAGTCAAAGTTGATTAAATTAATTTAATGGTGGTTTCTGTTCACCCGTGAATTCACGGGTAGAACCTCTTGTTTCAGTTTAAAGTGTGAATTGTAGTTTAACAGCTGAATGTACATTCGTAGTACATTCATTCAGATAATTTAAACAAGAGACGTAGTATAAAAATAATGATAGGCCTACTTTAATTAAATTACAGTCTGGTGTAAGGTAAACAAAAAACTGCAGTGTTTAAAATAATGTTTACCTAAAAAAAACTTCTGGTAGTGCCTATTTACAAGCAAATACATAGTGAAAGTAAATAACAATTTGTTATGTAAAAACCAGATAAACACTAAGTATAAAATACGAAATTAAAAACTAAACCAATGTAACAAGAGACAAGTATGTTATAAAAATGCGTTTAAAATATAATCCTATATATTAATTAACAGTCTGGTGTATTGGTACAACAAAATATTAAAATTAAACTTGTAACTGCAGTGTTTAAATGATCAATTACTACAAAAAGGCTTCTAGTGATGTAGATATTTACAATCAATAAAAGAAATTTACAGTTTGTTATATACAAAATCAGAAAATTCAGTTGGATGGAATTAAATGCCCCTATGCATTTCATTCAACAATTAATTAATGTAATTTGCAATTTAATAATTGGAACACACAATTCAACATTGTGCATTTCCAACAAAAATTATGTTGGATGGAATTAAATGTACTGTTGTTATTAGGTGAAATAACACAGAACAAGTAAGTATCAAAATTAAACTTTTACGGCCAAAATTTAGCGTACGCAGCCAACAAAATAAAGAATTCAAGTTAAAATTACTACAAGTATTTTGCATTTAAAGGTTTCGTAATACAGTAAAGTTAAATAGACACCTTCTAGTGATGAAATGCACTATTTTGTATTTTTTTACTACCTTACACAAACATCTGTTACCTTTATATTTAGTGTTCGCGGTCAACGAAATAAATAATTCAAGTTCAAATTGCTACAAGTATTTTACATATAAACGTTTCGTAATACAGTACTGTTAAATAGGCACCCTCTAGTGATGAAATGCACTATTTTTTATTGTTTAACTACTGTACACGAACATCTGTTACATATTTAGCGTTCGCGGCCTAAGAAATAATGAATCTAACAAAAAACCACTAAGTGGTAATACTTTCCCCGCCAAGTCAGCAATCCAAAAAAGATAATAAATCATTGTTTTTTTTCGCCAAGAAAAACAATGTAATGTATGGCTTGTTAAATACTTCAAAACATCAATGGCATCTTTGCAATGGCAAAAGTTTACTGTTAATTTATTTTCTGTAGTAAAATTACATCATTTTGTTGGTTTCTACTTTTATTTTTTATTTTTAAAATCACCAAGTTTGGCACCTTGGCGGCAGACTTTTGCTTGGTTTTTTCATTAAAGTTACGTTTGAGGATAATTTCATAAATCAACTTCTCTAATTAATTAGTCCAACTAACTAAGTATAATAATTTCGAGGTAATCAGTAAATATAAAACCATCATTATTATGATTTTATGAAATGTGGCTCAAATAAGGTCTTTTTTTAAAAATAAGCTATCACCTAGCAATGTACTAATGGGAGA